GACTAAATAAGACCTTTAATTTAAAACCAAACTCGACCTAGGCCTATGCTGCTATTTAAGATTTTTTTCTTACTCCTCGTGGGCCGTCCCCCATAAGAGGTAAAAAAAGTAATACAGTAATAGCTTAAAAGAGTAGACATTTATGGTTATTATTGATGTACCAAGTGCTATATTCCTATGTGTGTGCTATATTCCTAATGCTATATTTTTTTACTAATTGATCTATAATGGTAACAAATATATTACTCCGTTCCAGGACTTTTCAATCACACTGTATTTTGTTTACTTTCAATCCTTGATTGTAATCAATCGAATGTATTGAGAATAGTTTTCGATTGCAATCGATTGTAGATCATTGCTACATTGTTGACGACTGGATTCTATTGACACTTGTTTCTTAGTGTAAACTAACATAATAGTTTACAGACCAAACAGTCATTCCTCTATAACAGGTGTTCGTTATAGCAAATGTGGATTTTCCAATAATTTAATAAGGTAAACAATGTACACTTTGTTAAATCTACCTTTAAGAATGGTAGATTATGACAAAAGACATAGTTCATCGTACGGGCCAAAAAATATTACTCAAGCTTTTTTCCATCTTTAGTTTCGTCTCTGATGCTTAATTATCTTGTGTCTTTAGGCACTGTCACCTCTAATACACCTCTAATGTATTAGAGGTGGTTGTGCTTTAGGACCTGCTGATAAAATATACTTTAGGTAGTTTTCTTTTCTTTTTGGGTACTTAAAATGTAGTAAACTTTAATAGGAAAAGGTCTCAGATGTGCCATGTGAATATGGGAATGAGAGTCAAATAGTAAATTATTTATTTACCTTTACACTGATTATAATTTTTGAGTTAGCTAGACTCCACAAACAAAACCCCCAACAATAATAATAGTTATAATAATAATAATTAATAGTAATTATAGTTAGTTAGTAGGTTGTATTGTTGTATATGAAGCCGCGCAAACTTGGTAAGCTGTTGCATTTGGATTTTGTAACGACAAAACCAGAAGTTATTTGAATTTTAGGGAATTTCCCATATAGGGAATAAGTTATTACCGTAGTACTCATGGTAGACCTGGACCCGGGACCGATTTACTTCTTCGTTCTGAGGTCCCTAGAAGCCAAAAACGCCATCCGTTCAAATTCATATATATATGTGTGTGTCTCCATTAGCACGATAACTCAAACAAAAATGATCCGATTTTGATGGAATTTGGTATAAACATGTAAACATACATTTATTCGAACGAGTTCACGAACCAGCATGATTGGACTATGGGAACGGGGGTTTATGGGATAAAAATTGGTTTTCCCCATTTCTGACCCAAAAGTCATAAAATTTAGCAAGTTATTTATTTTGTAGAGCTTAAAAACAAATAATTTAGTATATTGAAGCATTGTTGTATGCCTAACGGTTACTGAAAAAATCACCAAAAAGTGTAAATTTAAAATTACCATGTTACTCTTATGAAGAATAAAACTGTTGTAGCTTGCTTGTCTATTGACATATTTTAGTTAAATTTATTTTACTTCATAAGCTATCAATATTTAAATACAAAATCTTCTATTTTCTTCCCTATAGCAGCAAACCTAAGTACTCATTAAAATTAATGATATTTATAGAGGAAATAAATCTGACAATTTTAAGGGAATAATTTAGCGGGATTCCAGCCAGATAGATGGAAATTCGCTTAGTCTGCAGGTTTGCTGCGGCGGGGGTATTATAAAATTTAATTTGATTTTAAAATTACCACCCAGGTTACTCGACTTACATTGACATCGAATAGTGCAAGAATACTTCTTAGTTTATTGTAAAATGTCAAACATGTCTGACGTGTGTTTCATGTTGTTAACGTCCAGTGTGCGCTCACGTCGACTAGATTAAATGTGTCCCTCTTAAAGGGTAGATTTTACCACTGTGCTTTACTAGTTGGTTATAATACCACTTGACAAGCAACTAAACAAGATTAGATAAATTTATTTGTTTAAATAGTTGTTAAATATGCCTAAGTACAAAAAGTAATCAACATAAGGTCATCTAATGGAACAATCGTTGATATTCCTTTAGCTAAACATTTAGATAAATCTAGAAAGTATGTTTAATATATGCTTGTAAATATGTCAGAATATGGATACAGTTAAATATAAATTAAAAATTGCGAAAATAGCTTGAAATTTTAGAAAATAAGTAGGTCATAGTCCAATAGTTGTGTACAAAGCCACTAGGCCAATGCCTTCCTCTTCGTATTTTATCCACAATGTTAAAAAGTGTTAAACAGATTTTAAGAACACTAACACACAATGGTATAATAGTAACACCATTGACTATACACCTCTACGAGTAGAGTAACACCGTTATAAAGTACCAAATATTTGCTTAGAATTAACAATTCGGAAAAAAATAAATATTCTGAGTAATAGTCTTCAAGCGAAAATGGGCAAATATCTGAAAGTATAACCAAACAAACGGCTTACAATGAAATCAGCTGATTTACTTCCTTTTGAGTTACAATTCTGTCTCGAAGTTCGGGTAAATTTATCCTAAGAATAAGCTTTTTGATATTTTGAAATTGAACCCAGCATTCCTTGATCGTGGCCAAAGAAACAGTTGTCTCATGCACAAAGCTACATAAGAAATCCCAATTAAGTATCATTTTTTACTCATATTTAGGTTAAAATACGTAGCAATATGTTCCTGGCTCCAACAAATGATGACAATTTATTTTATGGCTACTGGACTCCTTCTGTGTCAGAATAGACTTTTTACGTCTGTAGCCCAAAACTTTACCAAAAATGCAGTTTAATATTTTTGGTGATCTAGCATTAATAACTACATTAGTATGTTACAAGTAATTTGTCTTGATGTTTTGATGCAAACCTTGAGCCTAAAACGTTCTGTTTGCAACGAAACGTGTACAAAGCCTCTAGGCCAATGGCTTCCTCTTCGTATTTTATATACAATGTTAAAAAGTGTTAAACAGATTTTAAGAACACTAACTCACAATCGTATAATATAAACACATTTATAAAGTACCACATATTTGTTCAGAATAATTTGGAAAACACTAAATATTCTGAGAAATAGTCTTCATGTGCAAATATCTGCAAGTAGGCCTATAACAAAACAAACGGCTAACAATGAAATCAGCTGATTTACTTCCTTTTCAGTTCCAATTATGACGCGAAGCTCGGGTAAATTTATCCTAAATATAAGATACTTATAAGAATAAGCTTTTTGATTGTTTGAAATTTAACCGAGCATTCCTTGATTGCAAGGCCGTAGCCAGGGGGGGGTTAGGGGGTCAAAACCCCCCCTGAAATCCCGAAATTTATTAGTAAACATTAATACTAAGCTTAAAATTAAATTATAAAATTTAAATCATAACAGAGGACCCAACAACATAACAACATTGCATGCATACTAATATTTTAGATTTTTCAACTAAAATACAAGATACAAAAATGCACAAGTATAAATATCACATGGATGCAGTAGGTTACTGCCTTACTCCCTGGTCTTTGCCGTGCGCTGCGTGACTGTGGTGTGCGCGTGCGGTGCGATCCAGAATCTAGGGGGCACTAGGTACAGGGATGTTTTCTGTGTACAGGGTGCAGGTGGCAAGACACCAACCAACACGTGCTGGCGCCGCCGTCTAGGTTAAGGTCGTAAATTGGGAAATGGGAGGTTTTGCACACAGTTCTACTAGACGTTAAAACTGGCTGTAGAAAGTCACCCAACGGCTTTTAGGAGGGATGGCCGTAGTCTACAGTGTGTTTTAAAATTCATGAATGCAACCGTCATTGTTTAATTTTTTTAATGTCTATTTGCTCATGACCAACAACAGGTGAAATGGGAGTTTATATGGACAATTGGGCACGGTTTTAGGTGTTAAAAATGGCTTTAGAAAGCCACCAAATGGCTTTGAAAATTCCAAATTTTCCCGGGGGAGGACCCCCAAACCCCCCGGTGGCCACCCTCTTATCAAGGTCCTAAAACCGACATGACCCCCCCCCCCCCCCCCGAAAGTTTGTCCTGGCTACGGCCTTGCTTGATTGTGGCCAAAGACACGGTTGTCCCGTGCACAAAACTACATAATAAACCCCACTTAAGTCTCATCCTTTACTCATATTTAGGTTAAAATACGTAGCAATGTTCCTGTCTCCAGCAAATGATGACAATCTATTTTATGGCTACTGGACTCCTTCTGTACCAGAATAGACTTTTTACGTCTGTAGCCCAAAACTTTGCTGACAAAATGCAGTTGAACATTTTTGGTGATCTAAAATAAATAACTATAATTTAGTATGTGTTACAAGTAATTTTTCGTGGTGTTTCGGTATGCTGCAAACCTTGTGCCTAACAACGTTGTGTTTGCAACGGAATTAATTGGCAGTTTTTTGGCGAAAATGTGCACTACCCCTTAGTAAGGAGCCAATTTAAAGGTTTTTTTGATAAAAATTATAACGACCCTACTAGTTAATGCAACAAAATAAATTTGTTCATAGTTTATTTATTTAACGATTTTCTTGTCACTCCATTTCACTCATAATTCACTGTATTTATATCTCCTTCATTTTTTTTCTATCTAATTTATCAAATAATAATTTGCTTGGAACATCTTCAGTCACCACACAAGCTCGCTACCAATGTCGGCTTATTACATAAAACGATTCAATTTGCGCATAACATTAATGTTATGTGTAAGGTAAATTGTATTTACCATACTATTAATTTCAATTTTTTTGTTTACCCCATTGAAAATTATGTAAAATTCATGTATTCATTCATTCAACATATCCTAAAAGGTTAATGTACGTAACAATATACTTTTCCTATAATTGTCCACACTATGTATGCCTACTGATGGATTCTTAAATCTCAACAGCACTTAACACACACAAACAAATGCAGTGTGTGAGTTTATAAGTCGGTCGACACCGGAATGTATGTAAGTGCTGAGTGTGTGAATATTGGTTAGTTGGTTTGTAGACAGTGACAGTGCTTACAGTGTGTGTGACGCCTGAGTACCTGCTGGGATAGGACAGTCCACGACCACATCTCGCTAGGCAAGCACCTAGGCACCTAGGAGTCGCTACTGATCAGGTATGTACCCTAGTGAATATAAGCAAATGTACAGGGTGTCCCACGATAGGTTTAAACGTTTTTTTTTTATTACTTTCCCATTTATGATCCGAACATTTTGAAACTTAACACACTTTATAAAGTTCGTTTAAAAAATATTCTGGAAAAATGTCAGCTCCCTACCTCTTTAAAAAAAATTGTAGCATATTAAAAAATTATGTATTAAAAATTGTGTTTTTGGTTTGTAAAATATTTGTATTATCACATTTTTGGGAAATGAGGCTTTTTCATCAGGAAATTAGAACATAGCCTAATGAAAACCCTAACAGTAGAGTCCAACATTATTAAATCTGTAATCCATCACTAGTTAATAAATAATAATTAATTAATTAAATAAATATAATTATTTAATAAAAACATTTAATATGCCACCATTTAGTTTCTACGAGGGTTAGGGAGCTGAAATTTTCACTGAATATTTTTAAACCCTACTTCATAAATTGAGTAAAGTTTCAAAATATTTTGTCTATAAATAGGCAAGAAATATAAAATCAAATAAGGGGGTGGTGATGGGTGGTTTAAACCTCTTCGATGGACACCCTTGTCCATCTATTATTATATCTATCTATTATATCTAAATTATTATATCTATCTATTATTATTATCTATTTCACTTTACATTCTATTCCTGTATTTAAATGGTAACATTATACACGAACAATAAAATGTATTATGTGGATATAATATTTAATTTTAAGTCGAAAAACCTATTAACTTGAATTTTTAATATATGATTATTGAAAATGGGATAAATACTTATGTAAATACCTTGCGTTACATCTACCATGGTTTCGGACACGTATTGTAACCATTTTCAGGCTGGTACATTGGATTAACTGGTTGGTGAACGGAATTTATGGGATCAAGCAACTATTTAACTAGTGTTGGTATATACTCTGCTTTAATATATAGGCTTTACCGTTATAAAATAGGTACACGCTTGTACTGTGTTTATTAACATTTATTCAAATAAAAAAATTGGTACTATGATCATGACGAGTTAAAATTATAGTCAATAGAAAAATAGAAAAAAAACTTCTCTTGTTTTTTCTATTATTACCTTCAGTAGCCAATTAGTAAATTTTACTCCATAAAAGGTTGTAATGCTATAAAGTAGTCGAATTACTTAACTATGATGCTTAACAGACTTATGTTCACCATTATGGTAATACACTTTTCGCAAAGAAATATAGGAATTTTTCTCCAAGTATCATAATATGTTGATACAAATTTTGCAACCTTTGAAAATAACAAATCTGTATAAAACACACTGTTATACTGTACACCTCTACAAAATGAAATATGTGAAAAATTTCTTAAATAGGGGTTTTAAATAAAGAATTGTGAAGTGAAGTAAGTAGAATCAAATATATGTGTGAGAAAATCCAAAAGTACTTTCGTCGATGGAATATATACCTGAATCATTTTAGACTATCCTACGTTTCTATTATGCTTATGTTGTGCCTATGTTTTCTGGTTGCATACAACATAGTGTCATTTTTCTTTTGATAATGTTGTCAGTTTGACAGTTTTTTTTTTCTGTTTGGAAGTTTTATTTTTGCAAATGGGTGGTTTGATGAGTGCTAAAAAGGCTTTTTACTCCGAAAGGGATTAAAAGTGCTAATTTAGTCCGTACGCGTGTATTAAAAACGGCTGATTTAGCTGCTAATTATTTGTTCTCATGTTTAAATTGTACTAAAATTTGTTGTCTTAAAAAAAAAAAACAGGCTTTTTAATAAAATGGGAGTACAATTATTTTTAAATACTCCCACCGCAGCAAACCTGCAGACTGCTTAGTCTGCAATTTCCATTTGTATGAATTAATATACAATTAAATCTATTTAAATAACATTAGGTTAACAACTACCTAGGTTTGCTGCTACAGCGAGGCTAATAAAGTGTTTTTTTAGTAAAAGATTTAGTAAAATATTTAGTAGCTTAGGAAAAAAATAAATTTGCCAAGTTTGATCAAAATATATCCATAAACAAGCAAACAACATTGTACAATATTGTCTATAAAAATAACACGGGAATTTTACATTTACAACTTTTTGAATTTGCTCCCTGACCAATAATTTTACAAAAACACCTTGATATACTAAATTATTTGTTTTTAAGCTCTTTAAAATTGTTTGGAGAGAAATTGGGAAATTTTGTGTTTTGAGGGTCAAAAATTAGAAAATCTATTTTTACCGCATAAAACCACAGAAAACATACTACTATTTATAGTACATAGTATGTTTTCTGTGATAAAACCCACCGTAAAACCCCCTTCCCATGGTCCGATCATGCTGGTTCGCGAACTTCAAACTAAATTTCATAAAAATCGGACAACAGCTTCATCCCTATAGGGAAATTTGCTATCAAGACATAATCTTATTTCAATAAAACAGAGTACATTTTAGTAGTTTAAGTACTATAATTGGTTTGTTTATAGGAAGGCCAGGAGACCGAGCGTTACTAGTGGTGTTTAATTAGTTTTTTAGGTGAAAAATAAAACATACATAAGTATGATACAAATAAATAGCTAATAAATAAATTGAAAAGTAAATAAATGTATTAAATAATTCGTCCTCACGCTCAAAGCAATTTTCAGCTAGAGCAGTTTTTACGCTCATTCCGTTCGATTTCTAGAGAGGTCGTCATTTTGTGTCTTTTAGTTTAATGTATTTTACTTATTTTACAACAATTTCAAACCAAATTATCTAATTACAAACAGTTGGTTAAAATATTGTATGTTAGTGTTGTAGTGTACATTTAGTACTGTACGTTATAAATCAGGCATTGACTATGGATCCTGACTTGATCATATCCATGTCAGCTAAGGGAATTAATTCTTTCCGTCCAAAGAACATAGTTAAAATCTATTATATTTTGTATTGGATAATTTACTGTTACAGTAGTTGTCTTTTAGTTTGACATAGTTCAAATAATGAAGTACGTAAGAAAACTATTTGACAACAGCGCCCTCCTTCAAGAACTCTATGCAACTACGCTCGCACCTGCTACAAGAAGTACCTAATCACACATAATTCATACAAATAAAAATTAGTCCCTTTTTTATGGTTTCCATAACTCGAGAATGAGTGCACCGAATTGGATGATTATTTTTTGTTGTGTTCCTTAGTGCCAGGGGGAGTTTTTTTTATGTAAGGCAATGTATAATTCATCCAACCGTTATTTAGCAATTTGATTTTACATTTAATTAAATTGCCTTTACATTAGCTTAATCCCTTCAACCTGGAGGCGAGTTAGCGTTGGGACAGCTAGTACACACATAATAATGACACAATCAGTACATTTCATCCATTTAAATCATTAACGGTGACGTCATGGATAAAACATACTCCCTCAGTAGATTTCTCATCCTTATGGAACAGCTGAAGACAATTGTATTGTTAGTTACGTCCGGTGCACTGTAGATGCCGTGTTTGTTTACAAATTTGTTTCTTGTTATTTACGCCATATAAAACCTCGTTTGACCAAATAAAACGATCTAATCATAAACAATAACTGGTCCCCTAGTAATATAACCAAACAGTAAAGCAAAAATCATGGAATTAAACCTAAAATAATAGAAACAAAAATCTCATAGACCCTAGCGATCGGTGCACCGGACATGAACTAGACACGAAAACGAGCTTCAAAATTTACAATGGAATGAGAAGTCTACTTGTGTTGGTTAGTTTATGGTGACGTCTGCAATGGACTTCGATTCCCTCAAGGAGGGATTAAATTTCGTCAATTATATTTATCATTTTATTTTATTATATTATTTTTGCCGATTAGCTTTGTCTTTTACTTTTATCTATGTGCAAAGATACATTTACATAAGCCCCAGACATCCATAAAAATGTAGCTAGGACAAATATTACAGTTTAAAAATACGTGAGCTGAATTCGCTTTCATCCAAACTACCGAGGTCCTATGTACAAATTTAACAAGTCTAACAAATTTAACATGTGAAAGGCCTCATGACAGTGTTTTCGCTAAGACATACATCCCAACAACAACTTAGCACTGAAGTAGTTTTTATGACTAACACATTTTTAAGTCAATGAGTTATACCTAATGTGTGTGCGTAAGAGAGAGGGTGCAAATATAGCAGATGGAGGACAAATAAGTTTACGTCATAAGCTAAGCTAGCAAATAAAACAGCTGATTAAGTAAACACACGTGCAGGCTTGAATCACCGCGTAGCTTCAATATGGTCACACAATCCGTTGTTAGCAGATTTCCCATGGAATAAGCTATTGCCGTAGGTCACATTTTAAAACCTACACCCGGGATTTACTTTTTCGTTTTGATGTCCCCAAAGGCTAAAAACAAAATCCGTAAAGTTCATATACCTATACCTATGTATATACAAAATATCCAGTAAGTGAACAGCTAATTTCCGAGAAATGGTTTTATGGGTCAAAATAAAGAAAAAAGAAATGATTTTTTAAAAAAACATTTTGTAAACCAAATATCCGCCATTTGTTCTTCTTACATAAACATTGTTATCTATCCACTTTTCCCATCTTTATGAAACTTTGTTTGCACGTTAAGGTAGAAGAGACCTATGTTAGAAAAAAACTTGGTCCAATTAAACATTTCAAAACTGCTGCTATTTTTTTATAATTCAACTACAAAAAATTGCTGATTTCATGAAAAAATGTTAGTAACATTTTTATTTAGCATTTAAATTGTCCTATCAAACAATACTAAGTTCAAAAAGATAAGTTATAATGAGACGCACCCTGCCCTGACCAGATTAGCGTTATTTGCCTTGGTAGTTGGTACCATTGTTGGTACTGAACTTGGTATGTATTTAAAAGATACCTATGATAGGAAAAAATATTCGGTTCGTCCAATTTGTAAGTTTAAAATAGTGGTCATTTTGAGTTTTGCTACTTAAATTGTCAAAACATCCACTAGTGCGTAATATCCGACCAAACATTCATTATGATGAAAACGAC